GCCCGGGCCATCCCGGCACCGCCGCCGCCGCCGCCGCCTCCCCGGGGAGGCAGGGCCGGAGCCGCCGGGGGAGGCGGGGGCCGCGGCCGGCCAGGCTGACATCATTCCGGGGAGGAGCGGTCCCTCCCCGCGCCGCGCGGGGGGCGCCGGGCACCCCGAGGGGAGACCCCCGGGAGAGACCCCCGGGAGAGACCCCGGAGAAATCCCAAATGGGGCCCGGGGGTAGCGGGAAGTGACCCCAGTGTGTCCCCCGAGACACCCTGGGGGGACCCCAAAGGGGTGCCAGGGGTGGCACAAAGTGACCCCAGTGTGTCCCCAAAGGGGTGCCAGGGGTGGCACAAAGTGACCCCAGTGTGTCCCCAAAGGGGTGCCAGGGGTGGCACAAAGTGACCCCAAGGTGTCCCCCGAGACACCCCAGGGTGACCCTAAATGGGAGCCAGGGGTGGCACAAAGTGACCCCAAAGTGTCCTCCGAGATGCCCCGGAGTGACCCCAAAGCAGCCCCAGGGACACCCCGGGGTGACCCCAAAGAGGTTCTGGACACGTCCCAAGGGAGCCCCACTGGAGCCACAGGGACACCCTGGAGAGGCCCCAAAGGGGTGCCCCAAAGTGACCCCAAGGTGTCCTTGGGGTGACCCCAAACTGCTCCCGGGGTGTCCCAGGGACACCCCAGGGTGACTCCAAAAAGGTCCCGGGATCCCATGGGTGTCCGTGTCCTCGTCCATCCCAGCGTCCCTCTGTCCATCCCTGTCCCCGTCCATCCCAGTGTCCCTCTGTCCATCCCTCTGTCCATCCCTCTGTCCATCCCCGTGTCCATCTCAACATCCATCTGTGCACATCCCCATCCATCCCAGTGTCCATCTGTCCATGATCTCGTCCATCCTGGTGTCCATCCAACAGCAGCTGCACTGATCTTACCATCTGTCCGTCCATCTGTCCGTCCGTCCCAGCATCCATTTGTCCATCCCAGTATGCATTCATATAGCCCAGTGTCCTTTTGTCCATGCCCCCACCCATCTTTATGTCCATCTGTCCATCCATCCGTCCCCCTGTCCATTCCAGTGTCCATCTGTCCATTCTACAATCCCTTCATCCGTCCATCCATCCATCATCCATCCATCAATCATCCATCCATCAATCATCCATCCATCCATCCATCCATCCATCCCAGTGTCCATCCTTGTGTCCCTCTGTCCATCCCAATGTCCATCCATCCATCCTGGTGTCCATCTGTCCATGCCCCCACCCATCTTTATGTCCATCTGTCCATCCATCCGTCCCCCTGTCCATCCCAGTGTCCATCTGTCCATCCTACAATCCATCCATCCATCATCCATCATCCATCCATCCATCCATCTATCCATCCATCCATCCCAATGTCCATCCTGGTGTCCATCTGTCCATGCCCCCACCCGTCCCAGTGTCCGTTCATTCATCCATGACCCTGTCCCTCCCCCATCCATCTGTATCATCCATTTGTCCATCTGTCCATCCATCCATCCATCCATGCATTCCAGTGTCCATCTGCCATGTCCATCCATCCACCTATTCCAGTGTCCAACCATCCATGACCCTGTCCATCCCAGTGTCCATCCCAATGTCCATCCATCCATCCTGGTGTCCATCTGTCCATGCCCCCACCCGTCCCAGTGTCCGTTCATTCATCCATGACCCTGTCCCTCCCCCATCCATCTGTATCATCCATTTGTCCATCCGTCCATCCATCCATCCATCCATCCATCCATCATCCATCCATCCACCTATTCCATTGTCCATCCATCCATCCCTGCATTCCAGTGTCCATCTGCCATGTCCATCCATCCACCTATTCCAGTGTCCAACCATCCATGACCCTGTCCATCCCAGTGTCCATTTGTCCATCCCAACATCCATGTGTCCATCCCAACATCCCTGTGTCCATCTGAACATCCATCCCTCCATTTGTCCACCCCAGTGTCCATCTGTCCATCCCACCCCGATCCCCCAGGACCGTCCCCTCTCCCTGCCCCCATTCCCATTCCAGGCGGGATCCCCGGGATTGGCTCCTTAGGGATCTGCGCCCTAAATGGTCCCTGATGGGGACAGCGGGGCCAGGGGGACACCGGGGGACCCCAGATGGCGTTGGGGGAGGGATTTGAGGTCACACGGGGGGACCGGCTTTATCCCACGGGATTCCCATCGGGAATGGGGTGGGGGCTCATTCCCCACATTCCCAGGGCCACCCCAAAGTCACCAAACCCCCCTGGGGGTGGCAGAGGTGACCCCGAGGGGCGAGGGGACAATGCCACCCTCCCCTGTCCGCTGTCACCTCCGGGCGATCGCGGGGACACCCCGGCACTGGCCGGGTGGCACGGTAGGGGGCGCCCTGTGTGTGTGTGGTGACGTCAGGGTCACGCCTACATGGTGACGTCAGGGTCACACCCGGTGTGACGTCAGAGCCCCGCGGCCACATTGGGTGAGGGCAGGAGCAAGGCAGGGGCCACCCCAAAATGGGGACAAAAACCCCAAAGTGGGCAAATTCACCCCAATCTGGGCGTTGGAACCCCAAAAATGGGCAGTGACACCCCAAAAATGGACATTGGAACCCCCAAAAATGGGCACTGACACCCCAAAACTGGGAGAAGTCACCCCAGAAATGGGCACAGAAAACCCAAGTTGGGTAAATTCACCCCAGTCTGGGAGCTGACACCCCAAAAATGGGCAGTGACACCTCCAAAAATTAACATTGAAACCCCAAAAATGGGCACAGACACCCCCAAAATGAACATTAAAACCCCAAAAATGAACATTGAAACCCCAAAAAATGGGCACAGACACCCCAAAAATGGGCACAGACACCCCAAAACTGGGAGAAGTTCTGTGTCCCAGAAATGGGCACAGAAAACCCCAAACTGGGCACTGATATCCCAAAATGGGAACATTCACCCCAAAACTGGGCGAATTCATCCCAAATTGGGAAAATTCCTCCGAACTGGGTGAATTCACCCCAAAAATTGATACAGTCACCCCAAACTGGGTCCGGTCACCCCAAAACTGGACAAATTCACACTAAAACTGGGAAAAAACACCCCAATCTGGGTCCAGCCTCCCAAAACTGGGAAAAATCATCCCAAAACTGGGAAAAGTCATACTAAAACTGGGAAAATTAATCCCAAACTGGGAAAATTCACCCCAAAAATGGATACAGTTAGCCCCAAACTGGATCTGGTCATCTCAAACTGGGGAGATTCCCCCAAACTGGGAATATTCACCCCAAAACTTGGTCCAGTCACCCCAAAATGGGTCTGAGCACCCCAAAACTGGACAAATTCACCTCAAACTGGGAGCAGACACCCAAGAATTGGACATGGGAACCCAAAAACTGGAACTTCTCACCCCAAACTGGGCAAATTCAGCCCAAAACTGGATCCAGTCACCAAAAAACTGGAACTGGTCATCCCAAACTGGGAAAATTCCCCCAAAACTGAGAAAATTCATCCCAAAAATGTATCCAGTCACCCCAAAACTGGACAGATTCACCCCAAATTGGGAGCAGACACCCAAGAACTGGACATGGAAACCCAAAAACCGGAGCTGGTCACCCCAAACTGGACAAATTCACCCCAAAAATGGATCCAGTCACCCCAAACTGGGCAAATTCCTCCCAAAACTGGGAAAATTCACCCCAAACTGGGAAAATTCTGATCCCGTGGAGATTCCAGGATCATTGGGATGAGGTTTTCCATCAACCCCGTCATCCCAGAACGGTTTGGGTTGGGAAAAAAATTTTTAAAAAAACCCAAAACCCCTCAATTCTGGGCAGGAACTCCGGGACTTTTTTCCCTTCCCCCGTGGAATTCCCCATGGAATTCCCCATGGATTCAGCCCCAGGGGGACCTCGGGGGGTGTCGGTGACACCCGAGGGTGACTCAGGCCGGACGTTCCCCAATATCCAGGGCCGCGGGAAGGGGGAAGGAAACGGGAATTGCGCAAGGGGGGTTGGGGACGGGGGGTGACTCAGGGGGGAATGGGAATTCCCAGCAGGGGACGGATCCCAAATGGAAGCCTGGGTGTTCCCACAGGGACCCCAGACCCCAAATACCCCGGGCTGGGGAGGATTCGCCCGCTTTGGGGTAAATTTGGCCAATTTTGGGGTGAATTTGTCCAGTTAGGGGGAATTTGCCCAGTTTTGGGATGCATTTTCCCAATTTTGGGATGAATTTTCCCACTTTGGGGTGACTGGATCCATTTTTGGGGTGAATTTGCCCAGTTTTGGGATGCATTTTCCCAGTATTGGTTTACATTTCCCCAGTTTGGGGCGACCAGACCCAGTTTTGGGGTGAATTTGTCCAGTTTTGGGGTGACTGGACCCAGTTTTGGGGTGACTGGATCCAATTTTGGATTGAATTTGCCCAGTTTGGGGTGAATTTGTCCAGTTTGAATTCACCCAGATTTGGGGTGAATTTGTCCAGTTTTGGGGTTTCTGTGCCCGGTTTGGGGTGTCTGCTCCCAGTTTAGGGTGAATTTGTCCAGTTTTGGGATGACTGGCTAATTTTTGGGGTGGATTTTCCCAGTTTTGGGGTTTCTGTGCCCATTTTGGGGTGTCTGCTCCCAGTTTAGGGTGAATTTGTCCAGTTTTGGGGTTTCTGTGCCCGGTTTGGGGTGTCTGCTCCCAGTTTAGGGCGAATTTGTCCAGTTTAGGGGTGCCCGGATCCATTTTTGGGGTGAATTTT